GAGTCTTGCTCTGTTGCCCAGATTGGAGTGCAATGGCTAGATCTTGGCTCACAGCAACTTCTGCCTCCCAGGTTCAAATATTCTCCCACCTCAGCCTCTCAAGTTGCTGGGACTACAGCTGCATACCACCATGCCAGGCTGATTTTTGTATTTTTAGTAGAGATGGGATTTCACCATGTTGGCCAGGCTGGTATTGAACTCCTGACCTCAAGTGATCCCAAAGTGTTGGGATTATAAGTGTGAGCTACCACACATGACCCATATAAGATATTATTTACAGGTTCTGGGGATTAGGATTAGCATGTAGACAGCTTTGTGGGGCCCACCATTCAGCCTACCATGTTACCCCTGTGAACCACTGTTCGCCCGTCCCTGACATCTGATGGCCCAGCATTCTGCACACCACACACCCACCCACCTCTCTGGCCATCCTTCTGCAGGCATGGCCTCTTCCGTAAAGCCACTAAGTGCTGATGCTGGTCACAGCTTCATCCTAGGCCTTTTCCTTACCTCGGTTGATGTTCTCTCCCTGGGTGAGCTCCTTGAAGCCCACGGCTTCCGTGCTTACCCACCTTGCCACCTATATTCCCAGCTTGGGCTTCTCAGGACAGCTCTAGACTGTTGCATCCCATTAGCTTCCTCCCTTTACCTTTGGATATCTCAAAGGCATCTCCAGTTGGCTGGCCAAGGTGGTTCACACCTATAATTCCAGCACTTTGGGAGGCTGAGGTGGGAGGCTCACCTGAAGTCAGGAGTTCAAGACCAGCCTGGCCAACATGGTGAAATCCCATCTCTACTAAAAATACAAAAACTAGCCGGGCTTTGTGGCGGGTGCCTGTAGTCCCAACTACTCAGGAGGCTGTGGCAGGAGAATCACTTGAACCTGGGAGGTGGAGGTTGCAATGAGCTGAGCTGGAGCCACTGCACTCCAGCCTGGGCGAGAGAGCAGAACTCCATCTCAACAAAACAAAACAAAAGGCGTCTCCAGTTTCACATAACTAAGACCAAACCAACCCTGCCTTCCTCCCCCACATCCTCCCTCCTGGAGGGAGATCCAGGACTCGGTCTTCTCTTCCAGGGTTCTCTGTCTCCAGCTGCGGGAATCACCGCCCTCCCAAACCGGACCTGCAGTGTGATCCTTGCCATCTTCCATCCACTAGTTCTTCCTCTGTGCACCTCACAACCCTGGTCTGAGCCACTGTGGTCTTTCAAATGACTGCATAGCCTCTAACTGGCCTTATATGAGCCATCCTCTTTCTCTAACCAGCTTCCAACCCTGCAATGCCTTCTCTGTGCTTTCGAGATAAAGCCCGACTTGTTGTGGCCCGCACAGCCCTCCCTGGGTGGTCTTACCCTGCTGCCTCTCCAGTCCCGTGAACCCTCCCTTCTCTGAACCTATATGTAATTCCTTTCATACACCCCATTTTCTCCAGCCACAGGGCCTGGCACATGCTCTTCCCTCTGCTTGGAATTTTCTTCCCACCTCCCTCTGACCCTGGTGGGTTCCTCTCTATCCTCAGCTTTTAGCTCGGGCTCACTGTGGGCCCTCTAGCTGTGTTCACGTCTCTTGTTTGTTACCCTCTGTCATAGGACTGTGTTTGTGCTTCCAAAGCATCTTCTTGGTTTGTGACTGTACATTTTCCCTTGTGACATTTGCTTGACGCCTTTCCCACTTTGGGGCCTGTACAAGCCCTGGGAAAAGGACATGGACCCTTCTGTTTAACTCGACAATCTAGCATCCAGCAGGATCACAGGTCTTCATTGACTTTTATTTTTTATTTTTGAGACAGAGTTTTGCTCTTGTTGCCCAGGCTGGAGTGCAGTGGTGAAATCTCGGCTCACTGCAGCCTCTGCCTCTCGGGTTCAGGTGATTCTCAGCCTCCCAAGTAGCTGGAATTACAGGCATGCACCACCACGCCTGGCTAATTTTTCGTATTTTTAGTAGAGATGGGGTTTTGCCATGTTGGCCAGGCTGGTCTCGAACTCCTGGCCTCAGGTGATCCTCCCACCTCGGCCTCCCAAAGTGGTTGCATTACAGGCATGAGCCACCACACCCAGCCTTCATTGACTTTTAGTTGACAGCTATTTAGCATTTGCAATGTGCCAAGAACTACCCGTGCACTAACATGGTTAACCCTCACGAAGCCTAGGAGGAAGGACTATCATTATCCCCATTTAACAGATGAGGATGCTGAGGCAGAGGGTCATGCAGGGAGTGAGTGGAGGAGCCAAGATTCCAGCTCTAACTGCATATGCTATACAGTGTGACTCTGGCTCACTGGCTGGGCCCTCTCCATAGCCCTGTGAGGGTTAAGGATAGAAAACAGAGGCTCCGAGAGGTGAGGCATCTTGCCTGAGGTCACACAGCTGGTTGGCTGTTCCCTGGGCTATAAGCTTCAGTATTCCCAATGCTGAGCATATTTTGAGAACCTGAGAAACATTTGGCTGACTGGGAACTGAACTCATTTTGTCAAGGAATCCAATAACTCAATTGGCCCTGAGCCTGGGGGTAAGGACTGCTCTGTTTCTTGCCAGCTGGATGACCTCGGGAAGAGATCTGATGACTCTGAGATCCTGCTGATAGGACCTCGGGTGTCTCTGTTCCCTGCTCGCCTCCCATGGGCATGGGCTGGGTTTCCTCTGTAGGAGGCAGCTCATGGATGTGTGCCTACATGCCCCTGGGCCAGCAGTTCCTTGGCCAGGCAGCCCCTGTTCCTGCCTGAGCCAGGGCAGCCAACTTATCCAGCTCTCCATGTTCCCCACCCCAGCATGAGATGTCAGCTGAGAGTTTTCTGGATCTCCCCTGGCTGGGGGAAAAGCTTCCATCATTTGGAACAGGAACAGCAAGAACAGCAAAGTCCCTTTCCCCACCATCTCCCACTGCCTGCCGTGCTTCATGATAAACACTCTGGCCGAGCGGCAGGGGCCATTTCCTTTGTGCTATCCATGTCCACCTACACTGTCCTTTGTAATCCTTACAATTTTTCTTGGATAGGGGAGCATAACATTCCACTGTTTTTTCAGTTGAGGAAACTGAGGCTCAGAGAGGTGAAGTATCTTGTCTGAGGTCACACAGCCAAAGAAGGGGCAGAGCTGGGAGTTCAGCCACATGGGCTACCTCCAAGGACCCTGCTCTTAAACTCTAGAGTACTAGAAAGATCTTGTATTGCCTAATATTGATTCCTGATAAGCTATGTCTGAGTAGCATCTGCTTTTGAAAATGGAGCCTGGGCTGGTCACAGTGGCACATACCTGTAATCCCAGCACTTTGGGAGGTCAGGAGTTTGAGACCAGCCTGGCCAACATGGTGAAACCCCATCTGTACTAAAAATACAAAAATTAACCGGACATGGTGGCACCTGCCTATAGTCCTAGCTACTCAGGAGGCTGAGGCACAAGAATCACTTGAACCTGGGAGGCAGAGGCTGCAGTGAGCCAAGATTGTGCCACCGCACTCCAGCCTGGGTGAAAGCGTGAGACTCCATCCGTCTCAAAAAAAAAGAAAGAAAAAAAATAGATTCTGAATTTTGAAATATGCTGTGGCTCTTCCCTAGTTCGGAACATCTGGGGATCAATCCCTTTTGTTAAAACTGTTTATTTAGTTGGCTGAGAGCAGGAGCTGTGTACGTGACCTGGAGCACAAGCCTTGAACTTGGGCTTGGGTTAGAACTCCACCTCTGCCACTCACTGCTGCAATTAAGAACAGAGATGCTCGGGTGGACTCCTGCTTCTATGACTTGCATGCTGTGTGGCCTTGGATGAGATATCTAACCTCCCTGAACCTCAGTGTCCTCAATCATGAAAGAGATAACAGCTGAACCCATTCCCCAGGAGCGGATTAAACAAGATAGTGCAGTACAGAGTTTACCGAAGTGTATGGGGTCAGTGGTCGGCCAGTAAATGGTGGCTAATGGTTATCATGACTAATGTTAACATAAGCTCTGAAAGTTCCTTTGGGAACTCATGGGTATTTGTTCTCTCTCCCTTTCTCTCTCTCTTCCCCCTGCCCCCTTTCAGGTAGAACTGCACGTCCACCTAGATGGAGCCATCAAGCCGGAAACCATCTTATACTATGGCAGGTAAGTCCATAGAGAAGAACGCTCTCTCCCTGGGATTTAGGTGGGGTCCACAGTGACACCCAGAGGCCCCTGGGGAATCCCAGGGTCACTGTTCCTTCCTGTCTCCCTGTGGAAATCAAGTCAGCTCCAGGCCAGAAGTGGGGCTGTGGGGATGCAGGGGCCTCAGCACTGAGCTGGAGACCCGCAGACCAACTCCTGAGCCTTCCAGGCCTGACTCCTATCCTGCTGGTGTCAGGTGAGCCAGGCCTGAGCCTGCTGTCCCTACCCACCCACATACATGCATGAAGGTAGTTCCCAGGGCTGAATCAGTCCCTGTCTTTTTGAGTCAGAGTCTTGCTCTGTCCCCCAGGCTGGAGTGCAGTGGCACAATCTTGGCCCACTACAACTTCTGCTTCCCAGGTTCAAATGATTCTCCTGCCTCAGCCTCCCAAGTAGCTGGGATTACAAGTACATGCCACCACGTCCAACTAAATTTTTTTTCTTTTTTTCTTTTTCTTTTTCTTTTTTTTGAGACAGTTTCGCTCTTTGTTGGCAGGCTGCAGTGCAGTGGTGCGATCATGGCTCACTGCAACCTCTGCTTCCCGGGTTCAAGTGATTCTTCTGTCTCAGCCTCCCGAGTGGCTGGGATTACAGGTGTCCACCACCACAACTGGTCCAATTTTTGTACTTTTAGTAAAGATGGAATTTCACCACGTTGGCCAGGCTGGTCTCGAACTCTTGACCTCAGGTGATCTGCCCATCTCAGCCTCCCAAATTGCTGGGATTACAGGCGTGAGCTACCACGCTAGGCCTAATTTTTGTATTTTTAGTAGAGACAGGGTTTCACCATGTTGGCCAGGCTGGTCTCCAACTCCTGACCTCAAGCGATCCACCCAGCTTGGCCTCCCAAAGTGCTGGGATTACAGGTGTGAGCCACCGTGCCTGGCCCCTGTCTTTTGACTTGGCTGAGAGCCTGTAGCAGGTGATGTGCCCACAGGAGATGCTAGTACTGTTTGTTGCGCATCTCCTAGAGCTGGGCTGGACTGTACTAGCTCACTGAACCCCTCCACACTTGGAAGAGGAAGATACGCTCTCTGCATTTTACTGAGGAGGGAATGGGATCAGACAAGACAGTTGCCCAAGGTCACACAAGTTAACAGCAGATCAAGATAGAGATAACAGTTGAACCCAAGGCTGTCTGACCCTAGGGCTTTACTACAGCATCCGGCTCGTAACCTGCTAGGAGTCATGGAAAAGTGGTTCCCCCTCTCTGGACCCAAATCTCTGCATTTTCCAAGTAAGAACACACTTCCTGCTTCAGCTCTCAGGGATGCTGGTGGGCCAGAGGGTCGCCCTGTTCCCCAGTGAGGAAGGTTCTTCCCTTCCTATCCAGACCTCAAGGACTCACGGCAGCTCCTCTCTTAGGACCAGCATTTAAGAGCAGGAACTTTGGTCAGGCGCAGTGACTCACGCCTGTAATCCCAACACTTTGGGAGGTCCAGGGGGGTGGATCACCTGAGGTCGGGAGTTCAAGACCAGCCTGACTAACATGGAGAAATCCCATCTCTACTAAAAATAAAAAATTAGCTGGACATGGTGGTGCATGCCTGTAATCCCAGCTACTTGGGAGGCTGAGGCAGGAGAATCACTTAAACCTGGAAGGCGGAGGTTGTAGTGAGCCAAGATCGTGCCATTGCACTCCAGTGGCCTGGGCAATAAGAGCGAAACTCCGTCTCATAAAAAAAAAAGAGCAGGGACCTTGAAGGCCAGTGGATCTGGATTCAAATGTGGACACATTACCGCCTGTTTGTGAACTTGGTTTCTATCAACTGAAGCTAAGAACAGGGCCCTCCCCCAGAGCTGACCTAGGAGACAGGCTCCTCATCCACCTAGCCCTGCCCCTGCAGACCCATGTCTCTCACATATTTGCATGACACTCATTATGTTTGGAGCTGGAAGAACTCAGCCTCTCCCCTATGGTCTTGAAATTCCACTCTGGACCCAAATTTGAACATTTCTGCTCCGTAAGCCAGAATCCCGTTATTCAGAGGCCTCCCCTGGGGGGAGAATGCGGGATCCCTGAGAGGCTGCTGCCCCAGCTCTGGGAGCATATCCACAACTCCCTGGGAGAGTTCTGGAAAGTCCACTGTTCTCCATCTGTTTGCAATTCCAGGGAACTTCCTCTACCCCAAGAAGCTGCCATTGATTTAATTCATATTTAAGTGCATGGCATAAGCATATTGGCATCTCCTGTGTGCCAAACACTTCTTTAAATGCTTTACCCGGGTTATTAAATCCTCCCAACAACTTGTAAGATAGGGACTTTATTGCTATCAATTTACTGATGAGGAAACTGAGACATAGTAGGGGAGTAACTTGCCCAGTAAGCACAGGGCAGAGGTTTGAACCCAGATGGTCTCCCTGAGTCCATGCCCCTGGCCATTAACCCCTGCCAGTTAGAGGTTTTGGTGAGGTGACGCACATGACATGCTTAGTTCAGGCCCATTAATGTGCTCCATAAATGTCACTTAATGATAATGTTCTTATTAATTAGAACTTATGTCTCTAAGTGGGGTGAAGCCTCTTGGCTTATCTCTGCCTGGCCTTTGCCCATATCAAGCTACTAACTTGCCACAAGGCCCCTAATGAGGTTGTTCAGTGGGGCATCAAGATAAGATCGAACTGAGGCACTCATTAAGGGGTCACGGAGAGCTCATAGGCTATAGCCAGGGGCTGGGAGTGCTGGGTGGGTCCAAGAGAAAGGGGAAAGGAGTCGCCGGGAGGGGCACTAGTCTCATCATCCATTTCGCACGCCATCTCTGGGCCCTGGAGATGACGCCCGGCAGGTGCCGGCTGGAGCTTGGCCTGAAGTCAGCAGGCAGGGGGACTGGAGAGTTTCTCACACTCAGATATGGGGAGTGGGCTGAGAATGGAGGGAAGAGGGACCCCCCTGGCCTGTGCCCTGCGAGGCCCAAGTCAGTAGCCCTTTTTCCAGCTCTGGGACTCAGGCCTGCCTCCTTAACTGTTCTCACCCATTGCTGCTGCTTCCAGCTTCTGGGATTCTGCCCTTTTCAGGGGCTTCTCTAATCTCGTTCTCAGTCTTGTTTATAACCCTGTCAGCTATTGCTCCAAAGATTCTGAACCTGGCTGCCCTTTCCTCCTGTCACCACCGTTGTCTGGGCCACCACTGCCCCTCACTGGTGCTGTGGCCTCCTGATGGGTCTCAGCCATCTACTCTGGCTTTCCTCTCTGTGGGCCTTGCAGTGCTGTAGCTGGAGCGAGAGTCTGAACCCATGATCTTCCCAGCTCATTCCCCTGCTCGAGACCTCCAGCACCCCTACCTCACTCAGGGTCAAAGCCAAAGTCCTCACATGGGCCTTAAAGTTGCACCAAGCCTGCATTGCCTCTATGAGGATATCTCTCTACTGGATATTTTTCAAAAATGCCAGACCTAGTAAACACAGAGAGGGTGGGTAACTTTCCCAAGGTCCCACAGCCTTTAAGTCACAGTGCTGGGATTCAAACACAGACCATTGGGCTTCAGAGTCTGCTATCTTCCTCATGGCACACAAACAGTTTCATTTCTTCCTCTGTGCACCCTTATAAAGAAAATATTTTTTACTGACAAAGGCACTGAGGGTCTTAGAGGGGAGAGCTCCTGCCGGGTGATGTGGTAAATAGGGCTGGGTGATGGACTTGACCTGCAACCCCTGAGCTCATCCTCCATCCCTGGGCTCCTGAGGGTGGGCTTCTTGTGGCTGCGTTGCCCACAGGAAGAAGGCAGGAAGAAGACCAGACAATGCCCCAGGGCAGCAGCTGTGGCTGACCAGGGAGTAGGAATCGTCTAAGAAAAGAGTGTGCGCAGTGGCTCACATCTGTAATCACAGCCCTTTGGGAGGCTGAGGCGGGTGAATCACATGAGGTCAGGAGTTCAAGACCAGCCTGGCCAACCAGCATGGTGAAACCCTGTTGGTTGTTGACAAGAAATTAGCTGGGCGTCGTGGCGGGTATCTGTAATCCCAGCTACTCAAGAGGCTAAGGCAGGAGAATCGCTTGAACCCAGGAGACAGGGGTTGCAGTGAGCTGAGGTCGCGCCACTGTACTCCAGCCTGGGCAGCAAGAGCTACACTCCGCCTCACACACATACAAAAAAAGTGTGGCCTTATGAGGAGCCTTGGCTTCTATGGGCAGCTGGGGACAGCAAGAGGTGCCAGGGCCCTAAGAATAACTCTATCCTGCTTCAACTTTGGGCCCCAGATGGGGCTTTCCAGCTCGGTCTGAGCAGCTTCTGGAGGCTGAGTCCCGTGGGAGACACTGGGAGTCCCCTGTGCTCTCTGTCTCCAGTCGGGTCCCTGCATTCGTGCTCTGGCCTCAGCTCTGGCTTCCCTCCAATTTGTTTCCCACACAGCAGCCAGAGGAGCTTTTAAAAAGGTAAATCATTTCATGCTAGTCCCCTGCTTGAAATCCTACTCTGCCTTCCCAGTGCTTTCAGGCAAAGACCCAGCCCCTTCCTTAGTCCAGCCTGGCCCTGCCCTCCCAGGCGCCTCATCTGCACAAATGCCTGCTCTCTGACAGCCAGCCACCCTTTGCTTCCAATGCCCGCCGCTGCCTGTCTGCAGCCTTTGCATGGACCCCTCCCCTGCCCAGAACCACCCCCTATCCCAAGGCTTCTGCTTAAATGTCACCTCATCAGAGAGGCCTTCCCTGGCTGCTCTGTCTAAACTCCGTGTTGAAAAGGTCTTGATAGATTTAAGGAGTGTTGGAAATCGAAGTTGGAAACAGATGGTCGGTGCTGCCAGTAAAAATCAGCACTGAGACAAAGGATCTTACAGCAATGCAATTTTTACTTCCTGGACTGCAGGAAGGGTACCCTCACTAGCCATTGTGCCACAAGAGTACGATGAACAAAGGAAAACAGACAAATTTATCCCTTACATATTTGGGGTCATCCTTACTGCTGTGTTTGATTTCCGTTGGCTGCAGCCAAACCTTACAATTTAAACTAAAACCTGATTGGCTAATAACTTAAAACTTACTTTTTTTTTTTTTTGAGATGGAGTTTCACTCTTATTACTCAGGCTGGAGTGCAATGGCTTGATATCTACTCACTGCAATCTCTGCCTCCCAGGTTCAAGCAATTCTCCTGCCTCAGCCTCCTAAGTAGCTGGGATTACGGGCGTGAACCACTATACCCAGCTAATTTTTGTATTTTTAGTATTTTTGTATTTTGTATTTCTCCATGTTGGCCAGGCTGGTCTCAAACTCCTGACCTCAGGTGATCCGCCCTCCTCAGCCTCCCAAAGTGCTGGGATTACAGGCGTGAGCTACTGCGCCCAGCAGGACACTTACTCTTTAACAAGAAAATAAACTTTGAAAAGGAACTTTTCTACTTCCCACAAAGAGGGAGGCTGGAGGAGAAGAATCAAAGAGGAGAAATAGAAAGCAGAATAATTTGTTCTTGGGGACTGGCTGGTGGTGGGCAAGGGGAGGCGCCCATCTCTGGTGTGGGCAGCTGGGTAGATGGAGGAGCTGTATTTGGAAATGTGGAACCTGGGAGGGGAGTGAACTAGAGGAAGGGGAAAGGTGGCACGAGATGCCCGCCTCCCAGCAGGCAGTCAGACACAGGGGTCCATCTTGGTCACTGCTATCTGCCCAGCACCCAGCATATCACAGGCCCTCAGGGGTAGTGTGTGGGCATAGAGGGTTAAAAGCTGTGGAGGCCGGGCGCGGTGGCTCAAGCCTGTAATCCCAGCACTTTGGGAGGCCGAGGCGGGTGGATCACGAGATCAAGAGATCGAGACCATCCTGGTCAACATGGTGAAACCCCGTCTCTACTAAAAATACAAAAAATTAGCTGGGCATGGTGGTGCGTGCCTGTAATCCCAGCTACTCAGGAGGCTGAGGCAGGAGAATTGCCTGAACCCAGGAGGCGGAGGTTGCGGTGAGCTGAGATCGCGCCATTGCACTCCAGCCTGGGTAACAAGAGCGAAACTCCGTCTCAAAAAAAAAAAAAAAGCTGTGGACCTCTGGATCCTAAGCTGAAGACCACCAAAGGAGATGAGTTGGCCTGGCCAAGTGTGTAAAGGCAGAGCCTGAGAGAGAGTGGCCAGAGGGAAGAGCCCCCACAGGCAGTCTCTGGAGCTGGAGGGAGACCCTCAGGAGAATCGCACACAGCGGGTGCAGCAGGCCCCAGGCAAATGTGGTCACTGGATTTGGCAGTATGGAAGCCAGAGCCCTAGTGTCCTCTCCCTGCCTTCACCCAATAATTCTTAGAGTGATATCCAAAACAGTGTTTGACGACTGGTACAGGCTCTTCAGGGGCCACAGTTACTGGGCAAGGCCTTGCAAGGGTGCCTTTGGGGCAGCTGGCCAGCAGCAGGAGGGGAAGCACTGAGCTCTGACCTCTGAGTGCCAGTGCTGTACTGGGGCACCATTTCCCCCAAGGGTCTCAGAGGGATTGGAGCAGCTAGGGAGCCATGGTGGGCTGACTGGCAGGCTGGTGGGCACCAGGGTGATTCTTTGGTGGTACCCTCTGGGCACTCTTGGGGACTGGGGCTAACAGATGGGGAAGGGAGCACACTCAAGGGGTTTAGAAAACGTTTATGTAGGGAAATATATATATATACACACACACACACGCACACACTTTTTTTTTTTTTTTTTTGAGACAGAGTCTTGCTCTGTTGCCCAGGCTGGCGTGCAGTGGTGTGATCTTGGCCCACTGCAGCCTTGGCTTCCCAGACTCAGGGGATCCTCCTACCTCAGACTCCCCAGTAGCTGGGACTACAGGCATGCGCCACCATGCCTGGTGAATTTTTGCGTTTTGAAGGGGTTTTACCGTGTTACGCAGTCTGATCTCGAACTCCTGGGTTTAAGCCATCTGCCTGCCTTGGTTTCCCAAAGTGCTGGGATTACAGGTGTGAGCCACTACGCCCAGCCTCCTATTTTTCTGTTCTTGCTTTGTGGATAATGAGATGCTTGGCCCTCCTGATTTAATCTTCTAATTTTCTTAAATGTTTACTCCTATTTTTCATCCTCTTGTCTTTTTGTTCTACTTTGTGGAGGACTTCTTCACTTTTAGCTTGCAGTTCTTTTATTATAGCCTGACGGTTGCTACCATATCCTCTATTTATTTCTTTATTTTACTTTAAGTTCTGGGTACATGTGCAGATTGCGCAGGTTTGTTACATAGATATACCTCTTTTACATTTCTGAGAGCTCGCTCTTATGTTCTGAATGTTCCCTTGTTTTACGGATGTGATGTCTTCTCATCTCTTTGAGGATACTCATTTCTTTTTTGTTTTGGTTCTTAGGTTTTTGTCTATTCTCTGCACTGTTACCTCGAAGTGTTGTCTATTCTCATTTTGTCCCTCATGTTAGAAGCATTTCTTAATGTCTGGCGTTCTCTGGCTGTCCCTTTTATCTTAAAAAAGGGAAAACTGAGGCTCAGGGTGACCTTGTGAGCCGGAGCAGAGCCAGGATGGGAAGAGGAGGCAGGAGTGTGTGCAGAAGGGAGGAAGCTGGCTGGGCACAGTTGCTCATGCCTGGAATCCCAGCACTTTGGGAGGCCAAGACGGGTGGATCACAAGGTCAGAAGATCAAGATCTCCTGGCCAACATGGTGAAACCCTGTCTCTATTAAAAATACTAAAATTAGCTGGGCTTGGTGGTGTGCACCTGCAGTCCCAGCTACTCAGGGGGCTGAGGCAGGAGAATTGCTTGAACCCAGGAGGCAGAGGTTGCAGTGAGCTAAGATCACACCACTGCACTCCTGCCTGGGGGAAAGAGCGAAACTCCATCTCAAAAAACAGAAGGGAGAAAGCCCCCCTGAGCTCGCACCCTGCTTTCCAGAGCTGGGAGGGGAGGCTGAGGTGCTTGGGGAGAAATGAAGGCTCCAAGCCAGGGGTACTGTTTCCAGCACGCCCTTACTAAGTGCTGCTGTAGTCCAGCCCACTGTGGGGACTGTGGACAGGGAAGGGAGAGAGGTCTGAGCTGGATGGCGGCCCACTGGGCCCTTCCCCTGAGCCTCTGCCAGCCCTCTCCCAGTGCACTGGGCCAGGCAAGCCTCTGATGTGCCAGCCAGATGGAGGGCGGAGGAGGGAAGTCCTGATGCCTGCCTCTTCCCTGGGAATTGTGACATTACAGTTACTGTCCCTGATAACCCCAGACTGGGCATAGGACCAGCTGGCTGTGCCAGCTCCTGGGGCTGATGAGGAAATCATGAGCTTGCCTTGTACTTCCCTTGTCTCCAAGCATCCGTCCACCAGCGATATAGAGCAGGTGTGTACACAGACGTGCATGTGTGCGTGCACATGCATGCATGCATACACACACACACTCAACTTCAACCTGTTTATCCCCCTTGAGATTTGCTGACTTGTGCATCGGGGCAGAGGGTGCTGGAAGAATTCTGGTCCTGGTTCTCAGTTTCCCCATCTGGTCAATGGGAAGAGCTGGACTGGGAGATCCCCATGTCTCCTGCTGTGGTCCTGCAAGGAGGCTGGTGCTCCTGAGTCTGCCCCATCTGGACCATCAGGCTGGTTGGATCCTGCCCCGGGTTGGTCTACTACTCACTGTTTTGTTTCCAGGAGGAGAGGGATCACCCTCCCAGCTAACACAGCAGAGGGGCTGCAGAACGTCATCGGCATGGACAAGCCGCTCTCCCTCCCGGGCTTCCTGGCCAAGTTTGAGTATTACATGCCAGCTATCGCGTGAGTTGCCCCCAACCTGCAGGTCCTGGGGCAGCATCGATTCCTATGACTAGAACCAGGCCTGTCCCTCAGCCTGTGGGGGGCCAGAGAAGGAGCTCTGGGGCAACAGCTGTCTTTCTCACCATTGCTTACACTCAGGGAGTCTCTCCAGTGCCTTTAGGCCTTAGTTTTGCCTTCTGAGATGTGGGTGTGATAGACTGAAATCGCTTCAGCTTCTACAGAGAAATGGCAGAATATGGGAGTTAAGAAGAAACATCCGGCCGGGCGCGGTGGCTCATGCCTGTAATCCCAGCACTTCGGGAGGCCAAGGCGGGAGGATCACCTGAGGTCAGGAGTTGGAGACCAGCCTAGCCAACATGGTGAAACTCCGTCTCTACTAAAAATATAAAAATTAGCCAGGCATGGTGGTGCATGCCTGTAATCCCAGCTACTTGGGAGGCTAAGGCAGGAGAATCTCTTGAACCTGGGAGGCAGAAGTTGCAGTGAGTCGAGATCACGCCATTGCACTCCAGCCTGGGCCACAGAGTGAGGCTCTGTCTCAAGGAAAGGAAGGAAGAAAGGAAACAATCCCAGTATTAGACTTTCGCAAAGTAACTGTGACATCGGGCAAAATTACCCTTTCTGGGCCTCATTTCCCTCATCTATACACTAGGGCTTGTGATCTTCCTGCTTCACAGGGCTGGAGTTGGACCAGGCCCAGCACTGTTCTCAGGCAGCCCCCTCTTGCTTTGAAGATAACTGCAACCTTTACTGACAGGCACTGTTAGATCATCTGTCATGGCTTCCATTTCTTAATAGCAGAATATCTCCAGCATTACACTCACCTTTTGTAGCTGTCAATAGTCCTACAAGGTAGACAAAATCTTCATTTGCAGATGAGGAAATGGAGGCTCAGGGAAGTGACAGAGCTCACCCAGGAGCATGCAGCTGGCAAGGGGTGAAGCCCAGATTCTTGCCCTGGTGCCACCTTAAGCTTCCTGGCATGAGGCAGGCAAGAATGTGGCCTCAGCAGTCACTGCTGCGGGAGCTCAGGAGGGGGAAAGGCAGAGGGGCTGGGGGTACTTGGGGAAGGCTTCCTGGAAGAGAAAACGCGGGCTGGGCCTTAAGGAATGGAGAGGGTGTGTGATCTCATCCAGAGAGCTCAATGCAGGGATGGTTTGGAGGTTGGGCCAAGCACAGATTGTTGGAGACCAGTGAACAAAGTCTTTGAGACAGACAGAGGCCACTGGCTGGGACAGAAATGAGGAGTCCTGGGGAAGGAAGATGTGGTGCAGAAGCCTTTGCGCTCAGCCTGGAAGGTACCGACTGCCCTTATCCTTGGCCCTGGTGGGCAGATGCACAGGCGCACCCACGCTGCCTCCCTGGGGTACCTGATGTGTCTCCTAGAGACACTGCCACAGTGAGATACACGTGTAGGTGGAGCTCCTGTACTCACTGAGGCATGTCACGGGGACATGCCACCCTACAGGCAGTTTCTACCTCTCTAGCCTTGAAACAGAAGAGTCCCATTCCTGGAGGCCCACGCTGGGCAGGCTGTCAGCCACTGTCTCATCTGAAGCTGCCTGGTCTTTTAGGCTTGACCTCCCCTGACCTCCTTGCCACCATCCACAGATGTTGGATGAAGTTCAAGCCCTCTGGTGGAAGTAAACTGAGGCCCAGGAAGACACGGGGTCAACAATATAGGGCTTGAACCTGGCCCATCTATCTCTTAGTTCAGGGCTTTGTGTTGTGAGCAGAGGGGAGGCCTGAATGTGAGATGGGGGCAGGGAGAGGCAGGGAAGATTCTCTCAAAGGCTTTTTCTTTTTTCCTGTCTTGAGTCGCTGGGGAACGCTGCTAGGTACTGAAAAGGCCCAGAAGGGGTATGGGCGAGTGCTACAGAGAAATTCAATGATGTATTCATTCATTCATTGAGACAGCATCTCGCTCTGTCTCCCAGGCTGGAGTGCAGTGGCACTATCTCGGTTCACTGCAACCTCCACCTCCTGGTTTAAGGTATTCTGCTTCCGCCTCCCAAGTAGCTGGGATTACAGGCACCCACCATCACGCCCAGCTCATTGTTTTGTATTTTTAGTAGAGATGGGGTTTTACCATGTTTGCCAGGCTGATCTCGAACTCCTGTCTTCAGGTGATCCACCCACCTCAGCCTCCCAAAGTACTGGGATTACAGGTGTGAGCCACCGTGCCCAGCCTCCATCCTCATCCTGGAGATTCGAGAACTTCCCATGACGCCTTCTCCTGAGAGTGGCTGCTCTCCCTCGTGCAGGGCACTTTCTTCCCATGCTGGGCCCTCCCGGCACTGTGTGCCTCCCTCACGCGTTCTAGTAACCACTTCATTTTCACTCTTCATCGAGTCCGCCGTCATGTGATCAACACAGTGGCCCTAACAGGCCAATTAGTGCCTTGCTTCTGGAGCAAACATGCAGTAATAACAACGAAAATGTTTTGAGCATATGTCCGCTCTGCTCCGTGCCCAGGTGGGGTTGATGCAGTTTGATTCCTTTGTCCCCACAATAACTCTTTGATGTAGGTGGCAGAGGGTGACTAACCAGGGGCCACACAGCAGATAGGTGAGGGCACAAGGATTCAAGTCCATGACTGTATCCCTGGTGTCCCCCCATCCAGGCGTCCCTCTGGACTTGTCCAGCTGTGTCCTTTTCTCTTCTCTTCCCTGCCAGCCTTATCTCAATCACCAACAAATATTTGGCTACTCTGTCCTAGGCACGGTCCTTAGCTGAGAGGTCACAGCTGTGACAAGACAGAGGGGTCCTTGCCACATGGAGACGCATTGTAGTAGGAGATACTGCAAACTGGCTGAGAAGTCCTATGACACACAGTGCTGAATGGTGATAAGGACCTGGGAGAAAAAGAAAGCCCCAGAGGATGGTGGAGGGGTCATTTTAGGGCGGTCTGGGCCAGGCGCACCTGGTGGCTCGCGCCTGTAACTCCAGCACTTTGGGAGGCTGAGACAGGCAGATCACGAGGTCAGGAGATTAAGACGAGCATGGCTAACATGGTGAAAACCCGTCTCTACTAAAAATATAAAAATTAGGCGTGGTGGCACGCACCTGTATTCCCAGCTACTTGGGAGGCTGAGGCAGGAGAATCACTTGAACCCAGGAGGCGGAGGTTGCAGTGAGCCGAGATCACACCACTGTGCTCCAGCCTGGGCAACAGAGCAAGACTATCTCAA